TCACCGATCGGTGCATTGAAAGCACATCCAGTCTATTGGCCGGCGCTTATCCGCCCAAAACTCAGGACTGGATTTGGGATATCGGAGGGGACGCTAAGTTGGCTCATTCCTGGCAACCCATCCCTATCCAGACTTTTATGCCACACGAAGACGATCTGGTTTGCAATGAGGTATTTATTTACTGTAATCAATTATTTTATGTGATAATACTTATGATTTGACAATCAATAGGACAAAGACTGTCCGCTTGTGGACCGCGAGAGGGCGAAGATATTTGAAAGACCGGAACTTAAAAAGTTTACTGAAAGTCAGAAAGAAGTGTATAAGAAGGCATCGGAGGCCAGCGGATGGTCTATTAAATCTATCAGAGATGCAGCCATTTTGTGGGATACACTGCAGATTGAATTCGCCCGCAATTACATCTGGAATAAAACGTGGACTCAGGAGGAAGAGAAGAAAATGATCGACGACTTGTATTTATCGCGAGAAATGCAATTCCGATATGATTGGGACAGTCCGGTCATTAGACGGCTGAGAGGCGGCGGTTTGGCCTCACAGTTGATCCATAATAACCAGAAAGTGGTGGACATTAAAAACAATCGGAAACTATACGTATACTCAACGCACGACTCAACTGTTGCCGCACTAATCAATGCACTCAATCTGTCAAACCGTGATTTTCCGCCCTTCGGTGCGACCCTTCTCTTTGAATTACACCAAAACAGTAAAACTAATGAATATTTTGTGAGAGCTTTCTATCAAAACGAGACTACAATTAATGAAGGGATACCTCATTTGCTTAGTTGGGGTGACTGCCAATCGCTAACCGACTGTCCATTCAATAAATACATTGAATCAACAAAACACTTGTTGTACACAGACTTTGATAAGGAATGTAATGCTTAATATTATTTGGTATATTATGCAAGAATAATAAAATTTATTTGATTTTGATTAAATAAAATACTAAAAAATAAATTTTAGACAATAGTAAAAAATTCTACTTTTAATTTCCGCCAAAACTTAAATAAAATGGACAATATTTGTCTTAAAGAGTGTGTCATTTTTGAAAGTCCTTTACATTTATTGAGTACATTTATAAGTTGTTTTGAATTTTATTTTATTTTTTCGTTATTTACTTGTTTTGTAAAATTCACACAAAAATATATTAAAATAAATAAGAGTTTGAAAACTCTGTCACGAAAGCTATCATCAGATTTCGATTGCCTTTATGTATGAAGACGTGTCCAAACGGTCTGACAATTCGTTATGTGATAT